CCACCACCTTCATCAATATTTACCGCCACCAGCACCAAGCTTGAACCACCGTCATCAACACCAACACCACAGCTACCGCATCATCCCCTCTTTCCCCAACTGCTCTTACTTCTCCACCTTCTTTATCTCCTCCGACATCAGATCGAGCTTCTTCGACAAAAACTCTATTTTATGTCCATCGCCGTTCATAATTCTTAATTTGCCTTCATCGCCATATATTCTTAATTTGTCTATCTATCTATTTGGTTATCTATAGGGGTGAGTAATTAGAATCTTTTTTCTTCTAATATTAAAAATGGATTATAAATTTTTTTTAATTATCATATTATACAATATTATACAATAAGATTGTATAATTCATAAATCTTTTTTAATTTTAAGGAAAAAGTAATATTTTCTTTTTAGAACTAGTAACTTTAAATTAGAATTAGTAAATAATTTTTTAATTTCGTTTATTTAATAAGATACATATAGTTTCCTTATAATTATCTTCTTTACTTATGAAAAATTGTTTTTTACAAGATAGATATGGATAGATGCCTTATAATCTTTTTCTTAAATTTCTATTTTTATTTCATAAAATACATCTAATTTTCTTATATTTATCTTCTTTAGATTTTTAGAATTGTTTTATATAAGATATATACGTATAATTTCTTTATAAAAATTTTTCTAAACAAATATTTTTTTTGGTTTTACATGTTGATAAATTTGACATATGAGTATAGTTTTCTTATGTTTTTTCTAAAAATAAATAAAAGAATTTTTTTGTTTAACACGTGTCAAAATCTGAGATCGATAAATTTGACAAGTGTCATGATCTCGTGAGTTACTAACTTTGAAAACCATACTTTATATAAGAAGATATGTTGTCTAAAAAAATTGTTACTATTATTTTTGAACATTAAAGTTTAATACTTGCATTATTTTTACAATTAATTTTAATTTTAAAAGAATATAAGAACCAGATTCGAAGATACCAAAACAGCAATTTGTATTTTGTATTTTAGTTATTTTCAGCATTTTAAAAATTTAGAAATTGATCATTCGGATTTAATCATATACTAGGATTCAACCCGCGGTTCACCGCGGGCATCGGTTTTATGCGGTGTTCCTATTAAGTATTTGATAATGTATAATTTAGAATTATAAAAAAGTGTGTTTTTTTTTGTGGTTGTTAAATTTTTAATTAGGAGAAGGTGTTTTATGTGGTTAAACATGTGTATTATTTTATATATTTGTATCAAAATTTAATATAGTTAAAGTATTACAAAAATGTGAAAAGGTAAAAGTTGTATCATTTTGGTATTGTAATTGTTGTAATAGTGTTTTAGATTCTATTTAGTTTTTTTGTTTATCATAACCAACAGTTTAATTTACTTGTTAATAAAAAGTTAAGTAAGAAAATATGTTGTAAGTAGTTATGCTTGTAATACATTTTTTTGTATGTTCTAAAATAATCAAAAATCATTATAAGACAATGTAAACAAAATTTCGATAATTTGCGTTTAGTGACATAAGTCCTTAAAAAAAAAAAATTAAGATAATTCCTGTAAAAAACTATATAATCGTATTTATTTAAACTCCAACCCGCTCCATCACATGATCTGCGATTATTTAAATTTGTTTAGCAAGTTAAAAAAAAACATAATTCACAACAAAAAAAGGCTTAGAATAATCAAAAGATGGAGAGCTTTTTGATCTCTCCTCTTCTTCATCCCACAATCTCTTATGATATATCACATGAATCCTAGCAAGTAATATTAAATCCAAATTAGGTATGAAATTTAAAAAAAAAAAAAAACTACAAACCGCAAGTCTCAGGCCACCCACCAAGTTCAACTGCCACCACCTCCTGACTTGAGTCATCAATTTCGTAGCAGAACCATGGCAAGACCACCAGCACGACGACCTATTTTGGGACCATCGAGTGGATGAAATGCCAATCAAAACCTAGGCAACAACAGTACAATGCACGTAGGAACATATGATTTTGATCTTTATGAATGCGTTTGTGTAATTAAAATTTGTTAGGTGTATTGACTTATTTATCATCAGCTTTTTTTTTTTTGGTAGTGTTTCAATAGAATTGTAAACTTTGAATAATGGTCTTTTAAGCATAAAAGTTCGAATTCAACACAATCAGAGAAAAAGATTCAAAATAAACTTAAAAAAATATCAGAATCAAGGAAAATGCATATAATGAAAACACGTAAGTCTCACAATGCAAAAGAAAACATCTAATTCATCCTCTTATAAGCTCATTGATGAAGTTCTAACAGTTTCCAGCATCCCCACCTTCAACGTAGTATTTCTTTTCTTTTCCAAGCTGGTGCCTTCAGCTGGAATGGCCAAAGGAAGTTGTTGTCTACGATACCATAAGAATCTCGTTGATCAAATCCTATCAGAACAACATTTAAGAAGCTAGTGCTATAGAGGTAGATTTTGAACCTGTTCTCGATAGAATTGTAAGTTAAAGCCACCCTTTGGTGGTTGAGCTTTCTATGTCCTCTCTTATAGATCGGTTCCTTGACATTCTTCAAGTTAGGGATCTGAAGAAATAAGAGAGAGGTAAATCCATGATTAAAATACGTTATCATGGCCTAGGATTCAATGGTTTAGAGATGAGATGTATACCCGTAAGTGACATAGGGCTCAACACGACGAAACCTGTCTCATTGTAGCCTTGTTGACTTTAAGGAAAATGCCAATGGAAATCTGCATTAGACATGACCAATTCAATCATTATTCAAAATACCAAAAGAATCTTTGTATGGTTATTATCTCCAAGAAATGGGACACTACTTATTTATCAATAAACTTCCATGGAATGACAAAAAAATATAGATTCCAACTTTTAAGTCCTAACCTAAGACCCTAGTAGTAAATGATAATCTATTAAAAGACTAATCTACACAAACACTATAACGGTTTATGTGTGGTCACAAACCTGTCTTAAACGCAAGAGCTGAAGAATCATCTAAGTCTTTGCGTCAATAGCATTAATACTGCATCTTCAAGGAATTGTTGACGCAATTTTATCGAGTTCATCATTCTGTTTCTTAGCATTAAGTCGTTCAGGACCACTATATCGATCAACAATCTCTTTCAAATTGCGTCATCAATTGTTTCCTGCAACAAAGTGAGAAAATCAAGTGATCATCAAAGGAAACAAAATTTGCATGGTTTCAGAGAAAGTAAAATTAAGAAACTGAATAGTATTACCTTCATTTTCTTTCTCTCTTATGTCAACATTACCTCTCACTTGTCTTGTTCTTTGAGTATCCTCGTAAGCCACTGTAAAAGGAATCATTGTCAAGATTCGATTCAAAGTCTGAATAATGTACTTTGGTTCACCCTCGATCTGCAAAGCAAAAAGAGAGGGAGACAGAGAAAACTAAAGAGATTCAAAATCCATTTTAATGCAAAGCCAAACAACAAAACATGTACCATTGAACCCATATGCCAAATGCACCATTGAACCCGCATGACATGGTACCTTCCAGTAGCTAGAGGAAACTCATACAGTCATATAACAATCACAAAGTAAAGTTGAAGGAGGATTGCGGAAAAATGAACAATCAATGAAAAGAAAAACACGAATTGAGAAGGTGATTCACGAAAATTCAAAATTCAAAACACCCAGATTTTAAATCCAGGGGACATGATTAAATTCCTCCACTCTCCCAGCAAAATATTTATATATAAACTATGCAAATATAAGATGGCAGAAGAATCATTGGTCTCGATCTTAACCTCAGCTCGTTCGCTAGGCCTTGACGATGATGTTTGCGGAGAAGAAGCGTAAAACCGCCTCAAAATCAAAGAGTTACGTCGTCTCAACCATGCCTCAACGACCTCTCTTCTTCACCACGCCCACCTCTGCCTCTGCTTGATCTTATCTAAAATCTCAAAAAAAACTAAAACTCAGAAATGGATGATTTCCAGAGAAATCAAACGAAGGTCATTAATAACATCTAAATAAAATCAAAGAAAAGGAGATACCTGTGATAGTTGCGCAAAAGGGCAAAAGAATATGATCCAGAATCGATGTTGAGATAGCCTTCTGCGCCGTATGATTCCCATCTGACTCCATTTGCTCCAGAATTTATTCTGTAAGATGAAGAAAGCTTTTCGAATCGAAAATTAGATTCTGACTTCTAGGTCATAATATAAATTAACTAAAAGATGATCAATCTCTATCTTTGCTTGTTATATTCGGATCATACCCATTGTACGGAGACGAAAACCAAAACAAACTCGAAAAAACCCTACATGAAGCCATGGCCAGAAAGACTTACCTATGTTAGAGACGGCAGCTTATAACATCTCGCTTCCAAAACAAAACAAAACAAAAAAACCCTCCAAATGAATACAGATCCAGGTCCATAATCAAAACGCTCGGATCCTTGGTTTATTAGTGACGCTTGAATTGTTTGCAACGATTTGATCCATCCAAGCCCGCCCATAAAAGAAAACACGCGGATCCTATAAACTTTAATGAGATTTTTGACCAAATTACCCTTGACGATTTTGATTAACTATGTACAAAATCCAAAATTGAAATTGAAATTGAGGTCAAATTAGACCATTTTTCAATTTGTACTTCCCTTTTAATAATAAGGGGATACTTACAAAATTCAATCAAACCAAATTCTCAATATCTATACTTTTGATCAAAGATCATATTTGAAGATATATCTGTACTTATGATTATATGTCTTGTCCACTTGTGGATACGTTCTGATTATATATCAATCATTTTTTTTTTGTCCAAAATATATATCAATCATTATGATGATGTGTTGATACCTTAATTCTATGTGCTGTCCAGTCCACTTGTCAATGTAGGTCATATGGTAATCCCCACATACCGAGGAAGAGGAATATTATTGGGATGTGCTGGTTTGATGTAATATACAATATTCAACAACAGTAAAATAACAGAAGGTTACTGGTAATGAAAGAAAAAATGCCACTATATTTTTGTTCTTATCCTCAACTAAGCTTTTCTTTCATTGAATATACATCACTACAAACCTCTGCAAACTTGAGGCTTAGCTGAGAATAACGGTCATGCATTCCCCTAAGCTCTGTCTCCAGAGACGATTATCGGGCTTTGGTCTCCAGCATTTCTTCAATTAGATTGTTTCTGTCTCTTAAAATTCTGGAAGATTGCTTCATCATCAGTTTGTTGCTTCAAGTAAGAGCTGCAATTTCAGGCAAAAAGGAATAATAATTTCAATGTCTAGTATAGTTCTTTCTTGTTCCTGCAGTATCTTGGTTTTACAAGGGCGAAAATAAATAGCAGAATCTTTGAATCGTGTACCTCTGGAAATGGATGGTTGCTTTTTTCTTTCCACGCAATGCTTCAGCAAATTCTATTTCCAGTGCAAGAAACCTTTCCAATGCGTTTCCGAAGCTGAAGTTCTCTTGAGATAGAGGGAAGATACTTTGAAGTTCTTCCTTTGCCTGTCGAAATCAAGATCATAAGACTTCTGGACACACATGCTTCAATATATTACAATCTCTTTAAGGTAAACATCAACACCTGACGCAAATGTATCAGCTCCTGTCCAAACCCGAAAATCTGGTGTCTGTATCATTATCATCTTGAGGTTGAAGTAGATTATCATTCTTCATCCGTTCTAGCTGTAAAGAAGAAAAAGAAAAATATCCAATAACGCTAGGAAAAATCTTTCTGTAGATACTAACCAACATGTAGATATTGTAATTCAGAATTGCCATCCAATCAAAACTAACTCACTGATATTAACATTTCAAATTATTTCAACACTTAATCCAGTATTACCTCATTGTTTAGGTGATCCATGCTAGACCTTAAAGTCTCTGCCCTGAAATTATCATTGATCAAAGCTAGGCTTTCTTCACTTTTGTCCAGCGCCCTTGCTTCTCCGGAAGGTAATTGGTCTCTGTTTCCATTTACACTGCTCGATTGAATAGCTCCCTGATGTACATTAGAAGGTGTAAATATAGTAAGCATGATAAGAAATTTGAAAGAATATGCTTAATATCTAACTAGAGAATTATCTAGCGATAACATCGAAATATGTAGATTCATAGAGAAGATGCAGCAGAAATTTAACATGACTGGTTGGAGCAGAACTAGTTTTAACATGAGGTCTATGATACCATGAACTTGAATATTCTTAACTACCAAATTAATGCTAATCCAAACGGGATCTAACTGAGGGTTACCTGAATTTTTGACCAGGGACTGATGATCCGCACTGTAGGATCAAAACAAGCAACTTCCCTTTGCTCACGGTTCACCAAGTCGCCTGAAGAGACTGCAATTGTATTTTTGTCAGCCAACTCTGACAGCTCAATATTTATTAATCTATCATTTTCTTCCATCTCAATATTTTTCTGAGAGCTGCAACGTTGTACTAATTCTCTCCTTGATTCTAGCTCTTTGGACGTTTTCAAACTCTCCCCAAGGTGGCTATTAGAGCAGCAGCTAAGTTGTTCTTCAATGTCATTGATACAGATCTCAGACTGGATCTTTGTAAAAATAAGCTGAACATCTGCAGCCATTAGACATTGAAACAGTTCTTCTATAAAAGAAGACTCTCGTTGAGCATTTCTAACATACTCCAAACGTTGAGAAGACTTTGCAGATTCCAGCTCAGCTGCCATCTTCTCCAAAAGTTCCACTTGAGATTTCTGCAAATCAAAGTTCTTCAACAACAAATGCTTTTCATCTAACTCAGAGGCGAGTTCTTCAACTCTTCTGTCTAAGTTGTTTCTCAAACTTCTCTCAATTTTCAATTCTGATTTTACGGAGTCGAGATCTGCCAACAACTTTATATTAGCATCCATATGCTGAGCTCCTACATTATGAGAGTCATTGAACGCAGTCAGTACCTCAAAATGTTCCTTGTGGAGCTTGTCAGCATAAGTCTCCCATTCAGTTCTTGTGAAAACAATCTGGATATCTGCTGCTACTGAGAATTCCATCATTTCAAGTAACTGAGATTCCAAATCGGAAATATATGATGAATCACTAGTCAAGCTTCTCAGAGATGTTCCAAATCGGAAATATCATTATTCTCTGATATAAGTACGAAACATTTTTCACATATCTTACACAAGAATTTATCAAGCTGCTCTGTTAAATCATAAGAGTCCAAATCAAGATCCACTCCCTCTTCCCACAGGGGCAACGAAACGAGTTTTTAATTGTAGCAGCCTAACGTGTTTATCAACTTGTCCTTCAGACTACTGAGGTTCTGCTGTAGATTTCCATTTGCAGTAGCCAGATCATTAAACTTACCTCTCACAGCCTCAAACTCTGTAGGCAAGCCTTGTCCAAAAATGAGCTTCTTTTTTCTTTCATCAGGTCATTATTCTCCATAAGCTCTGAAAGCTCTTTTTTCTCACAAATGAAAGTCTCATAATTGGTCTTCCAACTCTTGGACTCCAACACTACAGTTTCCAGTTCATCAATCTTTTGCAGAAGGATGAGGTTTTCATGAGTAATATTCTGCAAAATTGCCTCTAAACTTTGATTCTGCAAATCTACAGCATTCCATTTGGCAATGCATGTGGTTTTCTCCTCATTCAGGGAGCAAACCTCGTCCAAAGCAATATCTAGCCTCTGCTTCAATATTTCCTTGGCCTCTGTTGAAAGCTCTAGCTGCCATCCAAGTTCATCAATTTTCGCTTTCATGGTCCTTATGTCAACACTTGCTTCAAGAAAAGTTTCTCGTAGAATGTTGGAGAATACTACCAGATATAAGTTCCTTGAGTGCATCTCATAGAGTTCTTCTTCAACTTTTTGATATAAGCATATTCAGCAAGGTTGATCATAGCCTCTCCAAGTATACTAGATCTGGAAGAATGATACCATAGCCACAACAATCTTATACAATTGGTCCTAGTATCCTGAAGCAGCCTTGTAGTTTCATAGATTGGATCCCCCCACTTGCAAGTTCCATTTCTCACAGGTGCTTTAGTTGTCTTTGCTGTAGCTTTTACGGAGTCAGCGGGAATGAAAGAAATGAATAGCTTGTCCCATCCCGCTTGTGGAACCTTAAATAATATAAACAAAGCACCCATCAGATCACAATGTACATTCAGAAAAAACGCAGCATCAACATCTTATTGAACTCCTCAGAAGTACGTAGTTTATATAGTTAGTTGACTTACATGGGTAGCGTGAAACTGCAATCGAAAGACGACTTTGACTTTGGCTTTCTCCAGCTTCCATTTTGCCAGTCTCGACATTTTACTCAAAAATCAAAACAGTTTCACCTGCAAACACACATGAAACGAGCTCAATTTTCTTTTCTATGCTCATCTTCAACTGTTTAATCTTAGTAACAACAGAGACTACTACATTTAGCAATCATAGAACAATGAAACCATCAATGCAAATTAGATCCAAACCACTAAACCACACAAACTATCAAATAACCAAAGGGTTGATCTCCGATCCTTCCTAACTCTCCGACTAACCAATTCCAAAAAAAAAAGAAAAGACATTTCTGCAAAATGGCGAAACAGAAACAAAATGTAGAAGTGCCCACTTGCTAACTATCCTCAGATCCAATCATCTCAAAACATAAAATCCACTTGAAACACCTAAATTCGAGTAAGAGATCCGATTTCAAGTGACATGCTTACCCAAAGAAAAAACTAGGATATATTCCACAACATTTTTCCAGATTTAGTAGCTAGAAGAGAGAAGAAACCCAAAAATTACCCAGAGAAGCAAGTCGTGAATTCTTAAGAAAACAAAAATAGAAACAAAACAAAACTAAAAAGCTCTGATTGATTGGATATGCATTAATGGGGACGAAGTGGAGGATCATCACCTAGTTCCCGGATCTGAAGGGTGCTTTTGTCGGAAGCAAACAATTACGCCTAGACCAATGAACAATCTTCTTCAAACCCACGATATCTCTCACTTCTTCTTCTTCTCTAGCTTTTTTCCACTGAGTCTAAGTTAATAATAATAATATTAAAAAAAAGTCAGTGAATTTCAAATCCGGGTAAGCTGAATATCTAGAGGATTAAACAGCATTACGGGATCTAGAGATTGGGTAACGGAGATTGAAGCAAGAATTAGGGATTTTAGAGGAAGAGGGAGACTAGGTTAGGTTGATTAGTGATTAAGTGTGTTGGTAATTTGGTGAAATATCACTAAGGAGGAGATGAGAGAAGAGTAACAGTGTTGTGTGTTTCGGGTTTAAGTATTAGACCAGGGTTAATTAAGAACAGAGACATCTCGGGAACAAATTCTATTTCAGTATTTCTATAAGAAAATAAAAATGGGACCATATGAAAAGAAAAAGAAAAAGAAAATAAACGAAATTAAGGATGATAAAATAGGCTTTGGCGAGATGTCGGGGACTAATCTCAATTTCTTTTTCTTTTCATATGGTCCCATTTTTATTTTCTTATAGAAATACTGAAATAGAAGTAATGATACTTTCGCACGTGACCACTCATCCTCATCACGTGTTGCGATCGTTGCACGTGGCGTTGATCAGACTTACACATTTACTACACAAGGTTCGAGGGAAAACGGCTTATTCCCCCCTGAACTAAGCTGCTTTATCGCTTCCATACACAGAACTTTCTTCTGTGCTTATACCTACACGAACTCGAGTTTAATTTGAAATTACAACACATACTTTATAAATCCGGTGAAAAACCTCAAATCGTTAGACGGTGTTACTGTTCCGTTAACGGATGCTGACGAGGGCGACACGTGTTCATTTTAAACGACTGTGTTTTGGTCCAGCTGGACTCTCATTAGACAACGAGACAAAACGACGTCGTTTTGATTTGCACAAACGACGTCGTTTTGTTATTTGGGCATTTACTCGAATTAGGGTTCGTCATTTCATTTGTAGAGCAAAATCGAGTCGCCGGGAGAGATATTGAGACGAGAGACATAGTGAAACAAAGAGTGAGGATTAAGGTTATGTACTTTTGGATTAAGGTTTTTGAGACCTATGAGACTTCTGTTTTCTAATTATGGTTAAGTCGACTTCTTTCTCTTTGATTTCTCTTTGATTTCTCTTCTTCAATCTTCAACACGACGGACCTCCTTCTTATAAATAGCCAAAAATCAGATTGAAATCAGATCTATCCATCAATTGAAAGATCACAGTTCCTGGGTTCGTGTATTGACTTGAATCGTATGATAAGAATGAATTTCTTATTGATTAATTATCTTGGCCGTAAGCCTTACATTATAATAAAGTAACCCAATTAATTGACTCGACCGGTTAACAAAAGCCACACTATTAAACAGGGAAGAAAATTTAAATCAAATTGCATAAAATATGAATGAAATGCATAAACCCATGCTACATATATTCGTAATGGGAGCCATTCAAGTTCAAAGAGGATTACAGAGAAGATTGGAGAAGACAACGTAAGGAGAGAGAAATAAGTTTTCTTGTGTTATTTTTAATTTATTGAGTTATATATACTTTTTTGAATATATTAGTAACCAAAGTTCCCTTAGATCAGTTGGTTCTATGTTGGCTATTGACTGCTTGAGGTCGTGTGTTCAATTCCAGAAGGTTAGTCTTAGATTTTTTTATTTATTTAGGGACTAAAACGACGTCGTTTCATGGTATTACGTGGCATCTTAAACTGCACACACGGCATCCTAGTCAGCATTTGTTAACGGAATATTAACACCGTTTACCGATTTGTTGGTTTTGACCGAATTTCAATTGTTTGTGTAGTAAATTCAAATTTTAGTTAAGTTCACGTAGGTATAAGCACATAAGAAAGTTCTGTGTATGGAAACGATAAAGCAACTTAGTTCAGGGGGGAATAGGCCGTTTTCCCCAAGGTTCGATGAGGCCGGTGTTTTAAACTACAAAATTGTTTCTGATTTTAACTACTGTAGATTTGTTATGAATAATATGGGTATTATGTGGATGCCCAGTATAGGCCCATTAGTAGATTCTAGAAGCGCTGATCTCTAACTTAAACCCTAATATTATATCCCTATATATGTTGTATCTTGTACAGTTGATCAATAACAGAGAGAACAATTCCCTAAAACCTCTTTGTTCACAACACGTTATCAACACGATAGCCTCACCTAAAAATTCCGAAACCCAAATCTCTCTCACAAAAACCAAAATCCTAGCCGTCTTTGTTCCTCAACGATATCGCTTATCTCTCCATCTCGTTTCCTACCGAGCTAAGTGTTATTACTCATCATAATACTTAGACCTCATTAATACATTCATGCTTTAGTGCTCAGTCGTTTAATTATTAAGATCTATATAACTATATTATTCTATGATCGACACATGCTTTAGTGCTCTATTGTTTAATTATTGAGATCGATACTTTATTGTTTGTTTATCTCATGCATCGATTATTGCTCGTGTATTTAGTATCTGTTTGTATACTTTATTGATACATGGTTTTATATATCCATGACACAAACTTATTATGTATTCGTCATGCACATATAATAATCGTTTAGTTAATTCACGGAAACACATGTTTTATCATAGATTTTATTCATGAATCAACCGATTCATGTAGTCACGTTTGTCATGATGGTCAGTTTAATAAATCGATGGTGTAAGTTCTAAAGTTTAATTCACTTTATAATTTATAATGATCACTATGGTTACGATGCATGATCCCATGGCTTCGTATATTGTTTTCATCGCCACATGTCTCAGTTGTTTGATTCATTATTTTATTGTTTAGTAATTCGTTTGGTTTGATAGCACCAACAATATTAAAAGAATTTAATCATTAGTAGTGATATTAAATAGGAAACTAAAGATGGATTTTTTTACTAATGTAATAGCCATGTTTCCATGAGCAAAATTTTGAGTTTCTCAGGAATCAGGATTATATATATTGAGATTTTGTAGGAGGTCCCAACTAGCTAAGAGACATAACTGTTTCCAATCTCCGTATCAGATCTCGGATCTCTCTTTCACTTCTCCAATTAAGATAAGTGCTATTTATTTATTATGCTTTATATACATGATCCAATTAAAGTTTGATAAGATAAAATTTGCATGAAAATTGGCACATGTGATTTGATTTATGATTTTTGTTTGGAGAATTAATTGAGAAGTTAGTGAATGGAAAGATGTTTAATGGCATGATAGATTGAATGTTTTAATATAAACCCTAGGTTAAACCGAAAGTAAACCGAAACCCTAAATCCTAGGTTAAACCGGTTTAATTAACCCTAAGTCACGGTTTAAGATCAAGTTTCCCATAAATGGAAAGTTTCCAGAAATAGAAAGTTTCCATAAATAGAAAGTTCCATATAAGGAAAGTTTCCAGAAATAGAAAATTTCCATAAATAGAAAATCTCCATAAATAGAAAGTTCCATACATAAAACCGAAACCCTAGCAAAACCCTAGGAAAAAGGGCATGGTGAATCTATTGTGGAAGGAAACAATGTCACCAGAAGAGAAAGATATAAGGCGATTACTAACATACGCCATCACCTCAATGAGAGTCTCAAAATCAGTACCTCATTATTAAGAATCCTCTGGACCTCAGGACAGAGTTGGAAAAAAAATCAATATAACCACCAAAGAACGGTGCTATTACCCAAAAGCCCGATTCGATCGAAAGAATCTCAGATTTCAGGAATTCAAATCCATGAATGAGTATAACTCAGCACTATTTAAAATAGTGTCAATACTGAGATTCCGTGGTGAGGAAGTTACTGAGAATGACTTGCTAGAAAAAGCATTCTCGACCTTTCATACAAACAATATATTGCCTCAGCAACAATATCGTGAAAAAGGTTTTTACCACATATGCAAATCTAAACTCTTGTTTTACTATTTGCTGAGCAAAACAATGAGTTATGAATAGTGAAATGAGACCTCCTGGTCCTACCCCATTATCAGAAGCCCATTGGGCTGAAGAGCCTGCAGAGCCTAAAGAGACTAAAGAGTCTAACCACGTCCAAAGAGATAAGTATCATGGCCACAGTCATGGTAAATGGAATGGACGTGGTAGAAGTGACAATTATAATTTACATGATCAAGGAAACCATTCAAATGGTTAAGGCCGCCGACCCGACTTTGGTCGTAATCGAGGTAGAGGCCGCGGTATACCCAAACCACAACACTCAAATAAACTTGTTTGCCACTGATGAGGAATGGGGAAACCATTGGACTAAGACGTGCATGACACCTAAGCATCTCGTTGATCTCTATCAAGAGAGTTTGAAAAGAATCTAGAAGCTCATTTAGTTCATCACGATGGTGAAGAAGATTTCGACCATGAGATAGATGACTATGAGACGTCGGATTGCCTAAAAGAGGCTTAATTGTTTTCGGCATCTAAGTGTTCTTGATTTGTTTTCTTGACTTGTTTTGTTTTGTCTTGATGTTTTCTATGTTCTATGACTTTGAATTGATTGATTTATGAGTTATGAGAATTCAATAAACGAAATATCTAAAGACATGGTTCATTAGCCAAATTGCGGATATAGCTAAATTTAGTGAAGGCTAAGGGCAGGCCCATGGCAGGCCCATATTCCCAAGGGCACGCATCCTCAGATGCTTCATATTCACCCAGCTCAAAGGGGCTTGTTGAGTTTCAAAGAAATGTGTTTGAATGGTTTCCACATTGAAACTAAGGGTGAAGGGAACAAAGGATTCCCACATATTACTAAGAGCACCCAAGACCATGAGAAGGTCTTAGAGACTATACCCGCGTCATAGACCTTAACTATGCCAAGGTCAATATGATAAAGGCTAATACAGTAAACAAAAGGGTTTACTGAGAAATTCACTAATGGCATGACCGACTTGGCCAACCTAGTTCTAACATGATGCGTAAAGCTGATATTAAAATCAAAAGGGCACACCCCTTAAGGACCTCATGTGTGTAGATTTTATAAATCGCTATAACATTTAATTATTTACCGTTGCGTCTTTCGGAATAACTTTTCATAAATTATTCTTTTTAGTGTTTAATTTTTAATTTTTAATTACCAACATGTATTTAAATGAGATTGTAACCGTTTAATTGAACGGTTGCAACATTTGGTTTATTTAACGAATCATTGCAATTTTTGGTTTTGCACTTTTGTTTTACGCACTGTTGAAATTTTTAGTTTATTTGATAAACTTGACGAACCGTTGCAACTTTTGGTATATCGCAACATTTCGTTTATTTTTTTAAACTAAAATATATATTTTATGTTATGATTTTTT